AATTAGATATTAACATGAATATTTTTCATGAAAAAGCCCTATTGTTTTTAACAAATAAAAAATAATGAGAAGAGTGACATTAACATTTCTGCAAATATCTTCAATAACTGGCAAATAATTTTGATTTTTGAGGACCCCTGAGAGGGTCTTGGGGGACCTCCAGGGGTCCTTGGACCATACTGTAAGCAACACTGCTGTAGAGGGCATACGGAATGGCTGTGAAGGACAGAAGGAAGAGCTGCTACCAAATAAGATAGATAAGAGGGTCCTGAGCCAGGGCCCAAAAAATAACTTGAGAAAATGTCTCAGGCAAACCTCTCCCTAGTTCACATGAAGGTAAAGGGAGGGAGGGGGAAGTACATTCAGACATGCAAGATTCTGTTCCTAGAGCTGTTATGTACAGTAAAAGTAATACCTACTTACATGCCATTGCTTTCTTAGTCTGGTCTACCTTGTAGGACTGACATATCCTTTGCAGCTCTGGGGAAATCCTACCCTCTCAAAATGGCTTATTGACCTTATGGGCCTAGTAATTTTTTCTTTCCATTTCCATGGTCCCAGCTAAAGATGGCTGAATTCCCTTCCCAGCCCCAAACTGCCAGGGTTTTCCTTACCCATTGCCTTGGTGGTGATCATATGACTGGTCCCATTGGTGCTCCCTCCCTTTGTAGAGGCCATGATATGCAGGCTGTACATCCTTGAAGGCCAAAGACCAGAGATGGTGAGGGTGTCCACAGAAGCATTCACAACAACACCTAGAGAAAAAGTTGGCAACGCTTTGCTATCATTTCAGACAGAAAGGCCTAGAAGCCAGAGGGAGGGCAGTACAACAATGGTGATGGGTGGCATGGTTCTGTTTCTTACACTCCTCTTTAAAGGTCTTTCTGTTTGCATGTTGTGGTGATAAGGTACGGCATGAACAGCACCTTGGGTAGCAAAGTCTTGGCAAAGTTAAGAAGGCAACCTGTAACCCTCAACTATCAACTATCAACTGAATAGATGATAGGGAAATCAACTATCATCTTTGACCATGCTACTGTATATTCCAACACATCTGGAAGGCACTACTTTTTTCTCTTCTAATATTAATGTCCCAAGCAGCAAAAATATTTAAAAGTGCTTAGTTATTTTTAATACAGGTTTTTACTGTCAATCAATGATCGGCAGACAGAGTAGTTTAAAAAACTAGGGTGATGGTCTGCATCTCACATGTCTCTTTTTCAGGAGATTGGACTACATGTTCTCTGAGGTCCCTTCCAAGTCTATAACTCTATGAGAAAGCTAAGATTGTGCCTGCTGTTTCCAGTGTGTATATCTAAAACTCCAAAGGAACATGTATTTTTTCTATGAATGTACTACCCTTATTTATTGCTTATAAAAAAACAAACTTCTGGAGATTTCATTCTTTGATCATATGTTTAATCAGTTCTTAATTGGGTGATGTCCTTATGACCATCATTAAAAAGGATGCCACATATCTTGACTTTTTCTTGCACTGTGCTTCAGGGATGCAAAATGCACAGGCCAAGCGGAAGGCGGGATGTCTGGTACGGTCCCTAGTCACCTCCTGACCCTTCTGCCTCCTTCCTTCCCTGTGTTGTCTCCCCAATGCCCTTCCCTGCAAATCTTTTCTAGCCTATTTCCTGCTCATTAGATTGAAGCTTATTTTTTTTCTTTTGGACTAAGTTGCTTCTGTCTATTTTTCCCTAAGTTCACTTTTTGAAAAGAAAAAATCTTATTTCTTACTGGTTCTTAAATGAGGGAGATAAATATATTGCTATAAAGTACAGTATGTTTGTAATTTGCAAACAATATATTTAGTGCTCAAGTTATGGGGAGGGAAATCTTTTGCAACTTCCTCCTTAGATTGACAAACACCAGAGGAGGAGTAAAATTGGTTTAAAATGAATTGGAGGGTCTGATTGCATGAAGGGCACTCATCCCTGAAGCACTGAGCACACCTGTTTTGGAGGACTGCCTACTTATCCATTTGGACCACACCCTTTGGGTGAATAAATCCCATCCTGGCTTGTGCCAAAGATTTCTGAACAAACTGCCTTCTTCCCCCTTCCTTCTTTCTCCATGTCACCCATCAGTTGTTCTGAAGACAAGTGTGTGGTTTTGTCTGTTGCACAATTCACTCAGCTTTAGTTGTCTTGGTGCCAGAGGCTTGGACATAAGTTTCTATTGCAGTGGAAGGAGGGGGCAGGATGGAGGGAGGAATTCTGAATCTGCCAGGGACATAAAAATATAGAACAAGCAGCAGCAATGGAAATGTTCCCAATAGGATGGAAAGAAATGTTGGTCACAGGCTGATTCATCCTAAGTTTCCTCTTGGCCCATCAGAGACAAAAGGGGCCAGAACTGGCCTAGAGGCAGCAGCTGCTCTCTTCTTAGTCAGCTGAAATCCAGTTGCAGCCAACAATAGTGATGGAGGAGCTCTGCTTTCGGGGAGAAGCCACCCACCACCATAATTGCAAAGAGTGGGCAGACATACTTCTAGCAGCTTCACTGGGATTGATCCAGAAGAGTGTGTAGCTGGTGATGAACCCATTCTGCTCTTCAATGGGGAGGGGTTCCCAACAAACTTCAGCTGTGGACACCCCAATGTTTCTGGGATGAACTTTGGGGCTGCTGGATGGAGCTGTGGAGATCAGAAAGGAATGGAAGTATGATCAACCGCAGGTCAAGGTTAAAGGGGTGCTGAGGGCAGGCAGACCCATTGGGGTAAAGAGGACAGACTAGACTTCAGCTTGCCATGAGCAGCCTCTGGAAGCTGTTCTGGTCACACCTCAAAAAGTTTAAAACTGGATGAGCAAATTATCTTCCTGATTCTACTGACTACCTACTAACAGCCTTTCATTGCCCCAGCCTCAGATAACCACATTCAGAAGTATTAATGCTAGATGGAATGCTAAAAATAGTCTGCATTCTTATAACTGTGGAAATTAAGCTGGGTATCAAGTTTAATCTGCACTGCTGCTTTTCTTCTATGCCCTATTCCTGGAACAACAACAACACCCCCCCCCAGAGACAATTAGAAATTCCCCCAGATGTACAATTCCAACCCATGAAAGTTTTGATTGAAAGTGACTTTCTACTTTGATGATGGAAGCTGAGCTGAATTTTGGAATTCCAAAGCTGTTTGGAAGAGGCACCTTTCTGCCTTGTGTAAGCTTCCACCGACTGAGGCACTCCTACGCCGTCCCTGTAGAGGGGGTAGATGGAGATATTATAGCGCTGGAAAGGCTCAATGTTTTCTGAAAGAGAGAAGGGGGAGATGTTAGTGATGATGGAAGGGCTGGAGGCGCGCCACATGCCCACCATCTGTCTTATAAGCCCTGCAGTGAGGCCGGTGCTTGCTCTACAATTGATTGTGCCCTTTCAAAATGTTACCTTTTCAAAATGCTAAACTTTTAATTATTCTTGTGAAAAAATGTTGTTACAGTTGCACGTCCTCTTAGGAGCTGGACCCCTATGAAAGCGCTGCTTAAACAGAATCAACTCTGCATCTCCTTTCACTTCCAAAAAATAGTATGCCAACAGAACACTGATGATGTTACCTAGCTGGGTCATGAAACATCTGCAAGCAAACAACCAAGCTCAGAGAGCACCTAGCAATCCACAAAAAATAATGTGCGGATATTTATTTCACTTGCATTCGATGCTTTGTGGCCAGTCACGTATTAATGAATGAATATGCTGCCAAACACACGAGGCATGTAATGCACTCAGATGTTGCACAGTTCTGGTATCTGCAAGAAAGGGAAGATGGGCGGCATTCAGCACGTCAAGGCGCCTTGCCGTCAGAGCACGTTGTAGAAAGGGGTTCTGTAGCCAGAGATGCCACCAGGTTTAAGAGCGCTTCCTCTCCCTCAGCGTTGCTGTCCGCCGGCCATTTCTCTTCTCCGTCTCCTCCATCTCACCTTCCTTCTGCTTGAAAACCTTTCTGCTGTGGATCCCACTACGCACCTCCCTTCCAGCCCCTGGGCTTGCTGGCTGGCCCAACGAGAGGAAGGCTGTGATGGCCTGTTGGAAACTGCAGCCCTCCGGGTGCCGTGGGGATACTTCCCTAAAGCCAGCCGGGAATCTTGGCTCTAGGACGGCTTCCTAGGCAGCTAGGCAGCTCCGGAGAGGAGGACTTCAGTTCTCAGCATTCTTGGTACCTCTACACATTCGGAGTGTGCCCAGGCTGGGAGTCCACTGTGTTTTTAAAAGGTGTGTGTATGAAAATTAAATAAATAAAATAAAATGCTGCCGCTTGGATACAGCTTTTGGCCGGCCAACGTGTTGTGTATTGTGTTGCCACAGTGACCTATGCTTTGCCTACAGCCTTGGTATAATGGATATCACACATAACTCAATAGCAGTGGAAGTAGCATAAACAAAAGTTGCAGCTGAAAGTAACAACTTTTTCAAATGAGTCCTTAATACAGTGGGATGAAGATCACACCAAGTGTTCCTAGTTTGCTTACATCTTTCTGGACAAATGGGGACCCAAGCTGTCATGGACAGGGGATTATCTCACTGTTGCCGGAGTGCAAACCCGTGGGGAAGACCTGTAGAATTCATCTAAGTCAAGGTTTCTGAGTAAAAAGGACCAGTTTGGGTACAACCATTGGCCCCTACATTTGAAGATAAACAGAGCCGGTTAACAAAGCAACATGGTGTTTCCACCTGGTCCAGATCTGGCTAGGGTTGTGCTAGTCTGATCCTTACAATAAAACTGGGAAATCCTGGCCATAAACGCCAAAAGAAGATTTGCCTTGGCTCCTCAGTGGTGCTGAGAGTGAAAATGCTCCCTCTTCCCTTGTCAGTGGATCACCTTGGATCAGGGTTTGTGTGATGCTTCCGTTGTGCAGCTTTTTCCATTCAATGCTGTAGTCCCCTGCCGCAGAGGTCACTCTGTGCCACTCAATAATGTAGCCGGTAGCCGGGGTCCTCGGAGGATCCCACCACAACTGGAAGCTCTTCTCACTGTGTGGGAAGGCCTGGATCCGGAGCACAGGCTGACCTGAGAAGCACATCAGAGAACGGGGCGGAAATGGTGAGAGTGGCGAAGGAAAGGAAATGGCTGGAAGAAGCAAGGAGTCTGTAAGGGCTGCCTCTTCAAGTAGCTTTGCCATAAAAGCTGGAATTTCCTCTGAAAACTGCGCCATGTTAGGCTCCTCAGATTGTGAGAGATCTGCAGAGAAATCTCCAGTCACTGGGGGGGGGGGGGGGGGGGGGG